GCGGCTCAAAGCATCCGCAACCACGTTCGCTTTACCAGGGTGGTAAAGGATCTCGCAATCGTATTCCTTGACTACATCCAGCCACCTGCGCTGCCTCATGTTCAGGTTCTCACTCAAAATCATAAGAGTTTCTTATCCTCAATCTCAAAAATATCTGAACCCACTAGTTATGATCAAGCTAGTAATGACACTCAATGGATAGAGGCTATGAACAAAGAACTTGAAGCCCTTGAAAAAAATGATACCTGGAGAATTATGCCCTTACCAGCAAATAAGAAACCTATTGGGTCAAAATGGGTATACAAAGTCAAATTGCATCCAGATGGCACAGTAGAGAGGTACAAAGCCAGACTTGTGGCAAAGGGATTCAATCAAGTATATGGAATTGATTATGTGGATAGTTTCTCTCCTGTGGCAAAAGTGGTAACAATAAGAATACTTCTTGCTTTATCTACTTCAAATAATTGGTTTCTACATCAATTAGACATCAATAATGCTTTTTTGCATGGATCTCTTGATGAAGAAGTATACTTACTTCCACCACAGGGTTATGAAAAAGCCAAAGAGGGTGAAGTGTGTAAACTGAATAAGTCTTTGTATGGCTTGAAGCAGGCAAGTAGTGTAACGCCCGTAGATTCGGTCTAGTCAATTTAGAGACGATAAACGTCAAAAATGACTTTTTAATAGAAGATTATTTAGAATGAATAATCTTAACCAAGTCATAGTATATGTTACAAGGGTTCCGTACATATAAAGAACGCTGAAGTTCGAGTTATTACGAAGAAGTTATGGCTCGTCGAAGTTTTACGGCAAAACCGGCACGGCACCGGGAGACGTAAATAATGAATTTACGGTAGAAGACTTTTTAACCTTAGTGATATAAACAAAAGTTATAGTATACGTTAAATCGAGAACGTACAAAAAAAGAACACCCAAATCTGACTTCGTATGAGGAAGTTATGAATTTTCTAAGATTTGGCATAACAGTGCACGACCCGAAACTCGAATTTTTGATCGAGCGGTTTTTGGCCTACACGACCTAAATGAGAGTTGAAGACCTCATTAATAGGAACTTAACAGTAAAAAGACAGACGAAAACGGAGTCCGTATGTAGAAGTTATGAATTTTACGCCGACATTTAACAGTATAATCTCCTCGTACTGTTAAATTTAAGATCGGTCGAGAATTAGTCGATGGAGTCAAAATGAAAGTTGTAGATCTTATTTTTACCTACGCGTGGATATAAAGAATGTAGAAAACGGAGCTCGTATGCAAAAGTTACGGGGTTTAGAAGTCGGCAGGGTGCTGCTGCAAAAGGGGTGACGTGGCACAATCTTGGCCATTGCTTTCTCCCCAAGGCTTGCCACTAGATGGTGACATGTGGCACTAATTTCAGCCATATTTCACCCTATAAATACAACCCCTTCCACCCTCATTTCTTCACACCTCCACCGTTCTCTCGCTACTCTCTCTAAACCTCCCAAAGCTCCCCTAGCGCTAGAAGAAAGCCCCAGAGCGCTCGACGGCTCCAAGAAGAAGAGCTTTCGGCTCGGAAGTTCTGCCCCTGCAGAGCACGGCTTCTAGCCAAACCCCCTCGTAGGTAAGATACACCTACCTAATTTTTAATATAGCTTTTATTTAAATATAGTAACGTTATTAGGACCTTATAATAATTATTTGAGCTATTATTATGGGTTATATAAGTGTCGTTATAATATCTTTTTAACCACTCGCGGTACGGGGAATCCGGTTTGAAGGGCCGCCTGGGTTGTTGGATTTCAAAAGTGCTATATGCCAAAATGATCCTGCCCTCCGGTGTTTTATATCTGGCCCCTGTCTGTACATAGTGGTTGGAAAATATTGTTTAAACGCTTATATAATAATAATAATAATAAGACTAATAATTAGTCACGGTAAATATTAAACTAAAATCTAGTGGTAATAATACTAGGTTTCGTCGAAGGAAATTATTTTAAAGTAAACGAAGCGTTGTCCGAGTACCGAGTCACCACCTTATCTAGTGAGTGCATAGTCTCTTTCATCTTACACATAGATATGAAGTATTTAATATAAATTTCATGCTATGTGTGCATATTGTCTGTATACTTGCCGTCTGTGCTGGGTGAAAGATTTTTATACATGTTTTAAATGATTTAAACTGTATAGGTATTTTATATCTACAAAATGTGTTGGGTAAAACATGGGTAGATGAAATAGTTGTTGTGTGACAAAAACAAAATGATGAGAGGTGATATAGACCATGAGATAAGGGTGAGAGGTAAACCATGAGAGAAACCTTTTACCCATGTGTTGGCCCTGTCATTCAGCAGAGTATGGATGACAACCTCGGACTATTCTAGACAGTCCAGTGGACACTAGCAGGCTCGCAACCTGTAGGTGTTTTGAACTGTGTGCTCACCAGCTGTACTCTAAAAACCCCTTGACATGTGTTGTGAGAGGAGTCTCGGAATCGATACTGTCGATAAAAGAGAATAACCCTGGCGACTATGAGACTTAGTGCCTATTGAGTAAACCATGGCATCGATGGACTTCGTGCCGATTCCTTAGGATAATCCTTAGGAATGAATGAACAATGAATAGCTGATTCTTAGGGTAGATCCTTAAAAGTAAATAAGATAATGGGGATGGGTAATTGGGTTGATTTATTGTTTGATGATTAAACATAATGATTATATTATTGTGGGTTGAAAACCCTATGTACTCACCAGGTTTCCCAACCTGACTCACTCAAGCTTATTTGTATCACAGGTGTCGATATGAAGCTACTTTACACTGAGAGATTTAAAAGAGATGTAGATCACTAGTGTAAATGAATGTAAGTTCTGTTTATGCTTATGTTTCTGTATTGACGATGACATCCCAAGGTTTTGAAAATGAATAAAAATACATTTATTCGGAAATGCTTTGATAATGTATTTATCATGTTTTTCTGGGAACAAATTCCGCAACATTTTTATTAAAAGAGGTACTCTGATTTTTAGAAAGCATAAACAAAATCGGTCTTTTCTAGCCGTAAAAATGGGGATGTCACAAGTAGGCAATGTCATATAGAGTTTTGTAATAAACTCTTGAGTTTTGGCTTCAAAAAATCCTCACATGACCATTGTTTATTCACAAAAGGAGAAGGAAAGAGTTTTTTGGCATTATTGGTTTATGTGGATGATGTGCTAATCACATGACCAGATGAAGCTCTTAGTAAAGAAGTCAAATCTTACTTGCACAATATCTTCACAATCAAAGATCTTGGTGATGCAAGCTATTTTCTGGGAATTGAACTATTAAAAACAGAGAAGGGCTTATATGTAAATCAAAGAAAGTATGTTCTTGATATACTTTCAGAGGTGGGACTTACAGGGGCAAAACCGTCATCAAGTCCAGTCATTAAAAATATGCAATTATGCACAGATGAGAGACAATTACTGCAGAATCCAGAAAGATACAGGAAATTAGTTGGAAAACTACTTTATCTCAACTTTACAAGGCTATACATCAGTTATGTAGTTCAACAATTAAGTCAATATTTGCATAAACCAACTGAAATACACTGGAAAGCTGCCATACAAGTCTTGAAGTATTTAAAAGGGTCTCCATCAAAGGGGTTATTCTTTGATAAAAATTCTTCAAATTTTGAAATAATTGCATACAGTGATTCTGACTGGGCAACATGCAAAGATACGAGAAGATCCTTAACAGGATATTGCATATTCATTGGTTCATCTTTAATATCATGGAAAACGAAGAAGCAAAAGACAGTGTCAAGATCATCATGTGAAGCAGAATATAGAAGTTTGGCTGCAACTGTATGTGAATTACTATGGATTAGCTACATCATTAGAGATTGGAAGATTAAAATCAAGATTCCTGTATCGTTATGGTGTGACAACAAAGCAGCTATACATATCACACAAAATCCAATCTTTCACGAAAGAACCAAACATTTGGATATTGATTGTCACTTAGTAAGAGATCAGTACAAGGAAGGATTTGTTCTTCCTAAATACAGTCCAACCAAACAACAAATTGCAGATATGTTTACAAAAAGGATTATATGGACCACAGTTTCAAACTTTAATGTCCAAGTTAAACTTACAAGATATTCATCAAGGAAGTTTAACTTGAGGGGAGGATGTAAAATCTATAACACGTATAATAGCTTGTAAATAGTTAGTTGATAATATAGCTATAAGTATGATTCCTTTGTATACAGTTAGTTCACAACAGAAAATGAAATCAAAACTTTTTCTTTCTACTTTCTCTCTCTAACTATCTTAGAATTCATAATTTTGTGTAGGGAGCGAATAATTTTTAAAAATGTGAAATTGATCGACTTGTAGTGGGTAAAAAGTAAATATTGATCGGAAACTTAACCAAAATAAATGATACCGTTTTAAGCCCAACAAATTATATTCTACATTTTTGGAGTATTTAAGTTTTAGTTCTTGTGGTGTCACTTTCGACCAAATAAGTTTATGATGTCGCAATCCATTCTTACATATATATCCAGAGGATACTGTTTACTGGATTGCATACAATATTCATATAACGTTATATAAATGCACATATTTGGCGTTATCGAGGTTTCTTGAGCCTTTAAAACTTAGACACATAAACAATAACACACTAATTCGGATAACTTTAACAATGATGAATAAAATTTAAATATGAAAAAAGATAAATAAAATACATTACTCATATTTAATCTTAATAATTTAATAAAAGATTTTTTTTTTAAAAAAAAAATTGACAGTCAAAGTTTGAAAGAAGGTTGAATTAAAAATTAAAAAAAAAAAGAAAAAAAGTGAACATTAAGGCATGCAAACGCACCAATCGAATGACATGCAGAATCAGAACAGTAGCGTGTTTGGCATTCAATTTTATATTTCAAAAAATATATATAAAAAAAAAATAACAGTCAAGCTGAAACAACACTTTAGTTGGGGCACAATTCCCATGCAACCTACCCTTTTAAACCTTGTTTCATGATTTCATCCCCTACTACCCTGAAAGTGAAACCACAGGAAGTGAATATGGGATCGAAGGGGCACCCACTTAGCGGCGGCGCCGGTGGTGGAGGCGGAGGTGGCGTTGGTGGATGGAAGAACAACAAGAAGAAAATGGCGATACTGGCAGTGTTGCTTCTGGTCGGAGTAATGGGACTGATGGTAGTTCAGAAGGTGAGAGACAGACGGATGTTCAACCTCGTTATCAAAGACAAAGATCGACAAATCCTCTCTCTTCACCTCCTGTTACAGGTTTCTCTCTCTAGAATATAAATATAATTGTATTTAAAACTTAAATTGGAAAAATAATTTTATGTAATATTGTGCAGAAAGAAAGACAATATGTGAAAGAACACAAGAAGAAGAACCAGGATTTGAATGCGAAATTGTTCTCCCTTCGAACTCAGAAAACAGAGCTCGATAACAAGATGATGGAGATGCGATCCATGATTGGTTCCTTAAGAGATGAACAACGAGCACTTGAATTAACGATTGATGAGAAACAAAATGAAATCAAACACAAGGAATCCAAAATCAACCATCTCAAAACCACTCTCCATTCTTCTTCTCCACCTAAAATCTTATCAGTGACTTCCGATGATCCATCACCATCAAATCGTGAAGCCAATTTAACCAGTAAAGTAAAAGTAACCACCAACATAAACCCTAATGTCAAACTTCAAAACGCTAGTTTGGAGCATGAAGATGACGTGAGGATTAAAATAAAGAACACCACCACCATGGATCATGTGAAGGAGACGAGGGGTAAGGATGAAGATGAAGAAGGTGAGAGGGAAGTGGATGTTTCTATGGAATCCAGCAATGGATCAGAAGCAGATCAAGATTACAAGGAAGAAATAGAAGACTAATTGATTCATTGTAACTTAAATGGTGTTTGTTTGGTGTTTGGTCTAACTATTCCTAAATCCTAAATTGTGTTATTTGATTTCAAAGAGATGAACTTGAATGTGTGATCCACTGTAATCAATTCTAACTTGCATTCTAGATTCTAGAGTTTGTTATTATTCAAATAAGTGATATGCATTTAATATTTATGCAATGTAAGATGTCAAGAAGAAATCTGAATTTCAAGAAAAGTTGCAACAATGCAAACAAATTATTAGCTCAAAACATCGGGTGCATATTTGGAGCTCTTAGTTGATTGCTTGCACCAGTTTCTGCCACAAAAACACAAATGAGAGAATCAGAAGTTCATAATAAGGATAAACATTAGGTTATTAAAAGATGAGCATAAATGGTTATTGAAAGATACCTCATCTTTCTTGCCTCCTGAGAACATCTTGTATCCACCATAGATTAGCAATCCCCAACCCGATAAAGACACAATAACAAACTGCAAACACAAAATTTCATATATATAATCACTACAATAGACTTAATTACCAATATGAGTATATGACCTATAATCATAAGTGGATACATTCCTTAACAATCTAGTCACAAAAATCACAGAGCTCTAACCCTAGGAGAAAAGAATTAGATTACAAAATGCAAATGGATCAGATAGATAAACCTAGGAAACTGAATCATTCTACAGGAAAATTGAGATTATGTGAATTGTGAAAACCCTAAACCTTTCAAATACTCCAAATTTACTTACATTAACACATCAATATCGAATTCAAATCAAATGATTACAGAAAATTTAGGAGACTCACATGTTCTTCCTTCCACCTGGATGGACTCATCGGGTCTTTCCAGAAGTCAACCTTTGCAGGTCCATGATGGTCTGCAAATAAACACAATCACAGTCTCAACAATTCAATCTGAATTCACAATTAAATCTGCGCATTGCACAGAAATTGCACATATCTGAGGGATAGAGAGAAAGTGTGATGTATCGTACCGGCGGCACCAGCGAGGCCACGGCGCTGAACAAGGGAAGCGGCTTGAGAAGACGATCGAGGAGTGGAGAGACGGAGTAGATTTACAGCTTGACGAGCTGCCAATGTTGATGCCATTTTTGCAGCTGAGAACTTTACTTTTCGATCGATCGATCGATCGGCCTCTGATTAAAAGGATTTTGGGGAAGAAGAGTGACTGCTGATCGTAAACAAAAACGATGTCGTAAGTTTCCTACTGTTAGAATTTGCAAATAGCCCCCTTTACTTCTTCCAAAATAAACTGGAAAGGCCCTTGACCGATAGAACTGGGTAGACCTTGAACGATAGAACTAACAATGGGTAGACCTTGAACGATAGAACTAACAATGGTAGACCTGTGTTGGGTTTGGATTCAAACCAAATTATTAGTTGGTTGAAGATTTCAACCCAACCCAATCATTTTATTTAAATGGGTAGATATTTCAAACTCAACCCAACCTTTTAGATAAATGAGTTGTTATTGGGTTGACCCGTTTATGTAATTCTCAACCGAACCTATTAAATAAATGGGTTAAACCTGAGTTAACCCATTTAAATTAAAAAAATAAATAAATTAACTAAAGATTACACCACTTCAATTATCAACCGAACCTATTAAATAAATGAGTTAAACCCGTGTTAACCCGTTTAAAATAAAAAAATAAATAAATAAACTAAAGATTATACCACTTAAATTAGTTCAAAACTTAAATAATCTTTCAAAGTACAATAAAGCACAATTCCAATTTACAAATACAAAGAAATTATTCAAATAATATTAAAGATATAATTTCGAAATGATTTTGAAGACTGACTAGTGTTGTCGGTGCAAAGAAAAAAAGATAGGAATTAGGATTGCATTTTTTAAACCATAAATAGTAATACAACACTGTAATTTATAAATTAATACTTAGATTAATACATGGTAATATTTAAATAATTATTAAATTAAATATATATTAAATATAAATGGGTTGTTGGGTTGAAAACGAGTTGACAACATTTACCCAACCCAACTTATTTAATTAAATGAGTTAGGCACGTTGACCCATTTATCCTAAATGGGTTGAAAATCTCAACCCAACCTACTAATTTTGGGATTTTGGGTTGAATTCGGGTCAGGTTTGTGGGTTGGGTCGATTTTTGTCAACTCTAATGAACGATAACAATCATAACGAACTAGAAAAAAAAATGTATTACCCAGTAGGGCGAGGTTCCATTTCATATTTTATTTTTTCTTTGCCATTTTAACATCATCTTATTTCTCCTAATTATTCAAAACCAAGAAACGGTCACATCTCAATATGGATGAGCAAAATGGAATCAGGAAACCGAAAAACCAAAACCAAACTCTAACTGTCAGTTTTGGATTTAGATTGTGTAAAACCGAAAAAATTCAGTATGGGTTTGGTTTTGTAAATATAAAATACCGAGCAAAACTGAACCGAATCAAAAGTTATGAAGTGTGTGTGTGTGTGTGTGTATATATATATATATATATATATATATATATATATATATATATATATATATATATATATCCAGTAAGACGAAATATTTTGTAGAAAGGATAAGAAATGCATCATTTGTATGATGTTTGGTGAATCAACAAAATGAATCATTAGATAATACAAAAATAATATAATTAGTAAAAAAAATCCAAAAAAACGTATTGATGATTATTTTTGCGATGATTAACTAAAGTCGTCTGAAAAAATGAATCAAAACTTGATTCAATAAAAAATGAATAATCGATGTTTTTTTTTCGAGATTTTTTTACAAATAATGTTATTTTGTATTATCTAATGATTTATTTGGTTGGTTCATTAAAAAACAAACAAATAATGCATTTCTTACCATTCCTGCCAAATATTTCCTTCTTATTTGATCTTATATATATATATATATATATATATATGTGTGTGTGTGTGTGTGTGTGTGCTGTAAGTTAAAAACATATACAAGAGGTTGGTCCAGTGGTTAAGTGTTTGGACATTGAACCTTGGTGTCTTGTTTTCGAATCTCATGTCTTACATGTATGTCGGTTACTATTTTGAAAGGTAAGATGTGTCCTATATTGCTCTTATGAACAAACATCTATCCTCGTCCTTATATAATGTATCAAACTTGCTTAGAGGAGTGTTACATCCACATGTCAGAAAGGTTCACTCATAATTGCCATCCTCTATATAAGAAATTTCTCAAGTCTCACCAAGTTAGGTTGTAATTGGGTTTGTGTTTCAACCCAAAACCGACCATTAAAAACTGCAAACCCCAATAGGTTCGGTTTTAAAAATTAAGAAAATGATAGTATCAGTTTATGTTTAGTTTTAAGTCAACTACATAATATCCAATAAACCTATACACATTCCATACTTATATATAGTTATATTTCTAACCAATCAATATACACACAAAAAATTAGTCTAGTCAATGGTGATTCGTCTGCAATGACTCTAGGGAATGAGGCACAACCTCATGTTTGCAGCGAGAGATTAGTTGGTGCGCAAAAACCGGCGTGGAAACCTTTGTTCGGAAAGTTCCCTTTCCAAAAAAAAGGCGTTTGGGGTTTGACAAACATTGCATCCTTGTACATATTTCTGGACGTCCTTGTGTATACCCACCTAAAACCATTCTTCCGCCATACGCTGATACGTTTTGAATTTATCCGAGTGTCCTCTGACTACTGGATCATGAATCCCCTTAAAAAGGAATGGGATCAAGGTCCCTTCCAAGGCGAAACCTTTAGGAATACCATATCCTCGATCTGAAACTCCAACTCAGAACGACGTCGGTCTGCATAACTCTTCTGATGGCTCTAGGTCGTCAGCAACCTCTTTTCTGACTTTTTGTATACGCTCTGTCGTCTTGAGCACTATCTCCGTGCTCCCCATGACTCTCTGCCCGGCCTCTCCCCAACATATAGGGGTCTGACAGTAGAGAAGCTCGAATGGAGGCATACCAATGCTGGCATGATGGCTATTGTTATAAGAAAACTCAGCCAGGGGAAGGTAGGAGTCCCAGCTCCCACCGAAATCTATGATGAAAGCCCTCAACATATCCTCGAGCATCTGAATGGCCACTCGCTCTGCCCGTCTGTTTGTGGATGATAAGTCATACTAAAATGCAACCAGTTACCCAACTCCTCATGGAACCTCTTCCAAAATATGGAAGTGAAATGAACATCCCGGTCTGAAACAATAGAGTTGGGTACATCGTATCGAGTAACTACCTCTTGAACATAGATCTCCACCAACTTCTCAGTAGAAGAGCTCTCACAAATGGCCACAAAGTGAGCACTCTTCGTTAAACGATCTACAATCACCCATATGGCATCAAAACCCTTTGCAGTCTATGGTAACTTCATGACAAAATCCACTGTGATCTGCACCCATTTCCACAATGGAACCTCCAAGGGCTGCAATTTTCCGCGAGGGCGCTGATGCTCAGCCATGAGCTCCACGAACCAAGTTATATCTCTCTTCATACATGGCCATCAGTAACTATGTCTTAGATCGTGATACATCTTCGTCACGCTCAGGTGAATAGAAAATCTCGATTTGTGTTCCTTGTCCATTAAAATCTGTCGGGTCCCACCCGAATAAGGCACCCAAATCCTGCCATGCAACGTCAACAATCCCCGACTATCATAATCAAAAGCTAATATCTGGCCTACCACCTGCTCACTCTTCCTATTCTCCTCTGTGACGGCCTCTCACTGTGCCACCCTAATCATCTCCAATACTGGAGTCACAACTGTCATCCTCAAACATACATCATGAATCGGAGTACAAACTACCCTGCGACTCTGCGCATCGGCCACCACGATGGCCTTACCCGGATGGTACAAAATCTCACAGTCGTAGTCCCTTACTACGTCAAGCCACCTCCACTGCCTCATATTTAGGTTGGGCTGATCCATTAGATATCTCGGACTCTTGTGGTCCGCGTAAATATTACACCGGACCCCATATAGGTAGTGGCAC